TGGAGTATGCTGACACGTACAAGACGGCAAACACAGACGAAGTCGTGATTGTTGCGACCTTCCGCTGAACGCAAAGCCGTCCGCGGCGACGGCGACGGCTATGATTTCTTTTTGCCTTCGGACACACGTATCATATTGAACACGTTCGTCTCATGGGTGAAATGCGGCGAGCTCGAGATTCCGTTCGATCGGGAGCACATGCGGCGAGCGCTAGACGAGCGTCTAGACCATTTGTACGAAAATTTATTCTCTAAAGCTAGACTACGCGGATTGAGCTTTCATGCTCTCCGTCGCATTTACGCTGGCTATCGTTATCTGCAGGGCGCTATGCTGGATCGTATTCAGGAGACGCTCGATCATGCCAACCGCTGGCAAACCAATAGCTACGTGAACGCGTGCTTGTATGAAATTACTAACGAGGAATGCAGCGCGACGGCGGTGACTAGGCTCGCAACGCGAGCGAGCGAAATCTAATCTCGGGAAGGCGAACTAAATTGAACTAAAATTGAACTAAAAGCAAGGTGTTACATTACAGCTTCACGCAGACCGTCCGTCAGGTCTGTAACGGGGAATCGTTCAGCTCGCTCGAATGGACGACGATGCCGGCCAGAAGCCGGAGGATCCTGGAAGCCTGGGGATAGCAGTTATCGCATGCACAGTTGTACAGTGGATTTAATTTTGCCGACTGAATAGCGACTTGGTGACAAACCGAGGAGCACCTCGAAAGACGAGGATATCTTGTGGTACGTTAGATCGCGTTACTACGAGTCTCTCTCTCTCCCCCACACCTCTCTCTCTCCCTCCCTCCCTCTCTCTCTCTCTCTCTCTCTCTCTTTCTGTTGACGGGTTCCGACACTCCGCTCACCGTCGTAAAAAATCTTGTCGCTTTCTGTCGTCACTATCTCGTCCATCTCGTCGTGTTTCGGAAACGGCGTCGCTTCCCGATGAACGGCGCAGAGCGAGCGGTTAGATGCATACGTCGCGTTTCATCAACGAAACCAATGATGAACTGATCATTCGCATCGCGTGACACATTGGAAAAAATACGAGGAAAACTAATTACAATAAAACGAATAAGCAAAAAGATGAACTGATCAATTATGCATCCGGCGTTGACACATTGGAAGACTAAATTTAGCGACGTTGAGGAACTAATGCTGACAATGTAAAACGAATGGGAAGCGGATCACAGAGACGATCATAGTGCCATTGGAAGACGTGCTGGACGAATTTACCAAAGAGAAAGGAGAAGGTTCTAGTGATGTACGATTTACTTTATCAACGGCATCCGAATAAACAGTTGGCTCGTTAGCATACCGATCGTACTCGATGAAATATTGAAAAAACTCTCAGTTCGCTCTTAGCACCTCGGTCATCGTCGTCGTCGTCGTCGTCGTCGTAGTCGTAGTCGTAGTCGCCAACTTTTACTGCCGTAAATTTTATCGCCGTCTTTAAGCATGGCTAATCCGTATCAGCCGTCTACCTCGCAGTGGCAGCTACCAGTCGCTGAGCCGTTGCAAGATCGACTCTCGGCGGTGTTAACTGAACAGCTGCCGTCGCAATTGTCACAAATGCCACTTGAGCAACTGCCGCCGCAACCGTCACAAGTGCCACCATTATCGTTGTCCATATTGCTCAAACGATTACCAGAAACGGCGATAAACAACAACAAAACCACGACGGTCAAGACAACGGTGACTGGTGTATTACCGCAATTGATCGACCATAATGGGAGAATCTCCTCCGTTCGTAAACAAAAGGTTAGGCCGGTCGCCAGGAAGCAATCACGCGCGAAGCAACCGCGCAAGGTGGCTATGTCGAAAAAGATTATGTTCAAATCGAGAAACAAAGGAAAGATGCTAAACGAGCATCGCCACCGTCATCTTGCCAATCGCCATCACCTCGTGCGTCATCGCGGCCGCCGCCGTCATCGTGGCCGCCGCCATCGCCGCCGTCTCCGTCGTCGTCGTCATCGTCGTCGTCGTCATCGTCGTCGTCGCTACGAACCGTCAAGTTGGCGAAGGAGATCGCTGGCGAACGCACGCTGAGGAAGAGAGAATTGTCGGAAGCGTTCGAGGTCGAGCATCAGGACGACGTTGCCCGACCGCAAACTGAACGACGGAAAAAACAGCAGAGACGCGGCGAAACTCTGGACGATATGCCACTCGCGGATCGTTGGAACCGGCGACCAAAGTTGCCCACAGCGTTCAAATTCTTTCTGAGCTCGACAATAGTCAAGGCAATGTACGATCTACCCGCGTACGCTGAGAAGCATTTGAGGCGCCGACAGTGACGTCGGCTGCCAGCAAGGCGTGGATGCGAGCGATCGAGCGCATGATCGAAATGGTTAACAAACGGATGATATGTGTTTCTGAAAAGAAACGAACGTGGGAACAGGTTTCGACCGTTGGTCGACGATTGTTGTTCGACAAGTACAAATTGCTAATGTTTCTGTACAAATTGTTTCGGTCGGCTCGGTTTGACGTGAAGGCGCTCGGTCGTCTGATCAATGACCCACCGCAACCGATATATAGGGGTGCGCTGTTGGGCAGTTCCGTGATCGAACGCGTCATTCATTGCATCTTGTCGCGCTTGCAGCGGATTAATCCGGAATTACAATTCAACGCTGTAACGTTTTCGCCAAAAGCGCGCGATATATTGCGCATTATCGCCGACCAATTGGGAATACGTATATTGAAACGCGTCCAGTACAACAATTTCGGCGAGCATATCAGCGAGGAAAAACTCATGACTCCAGCACTGCCACCACGTTATAACACACTCAACGATGCGCAGGTGTCAGTTGATCCGTTGTACCATCCTACATTCCTGAAAGATTGCGTGAGCAACGGTAGCAACGAGATATCGCGGCTACATGTGCGAGAAGATGCCGCGTCGCGAAAGAATCGATTGCCGTACTCGCCAACGGCGTTTTCGCACTTGATCGTTTCTAATCATATCTCTCCGGTGAAGAACGACGCAGCGTGTTTGAATGCGTTCAACGCTCAAGTGTTTGACGCTCTCGCCAACATTGTGCAGTACGCGGTATCGCATCGACGCGATTTGATGCGACCTTCGGGCAAGAAAAATATCAATCTGAACGAGGAGGAAATTTCGAACGCGACCGAATTATTGTACGATGTACGTGTCGTGCTCGATGATGTGCACACTCGCGTGCTGGTGCCAAAGCCCGAACGTTTATTCCAACACGTAGTTTTTGATCTAAATATAGTACACGCCCAATTGAATCGAATGCTACTATCGGTGTTCCCTAGCGGCTTCGTCGGCATCAGGCATCAGTCGCCCAACAACGATAACCTAACGACGACGTCGAGTCAGGTCAGTCGTCAGTCGTCGTCGAAGTCGCGAGTAGAAGTGAGAAGAGAGAAACTCGAAAAGGAAGTTGATCTTCCGCCACAGTCAACGCCAGAGTCACGAGTGCACGAAACTGCCGAAGTGAGCCGGAGAGATCGGCAGCGCGTGCCGGCTCGTGCCGGAGCCAAGAGTCCAGCCTGCGTCGAGCCTGTGGCGATGACGAGAAAGAAAAGATTCTAAAAAAAAGAAGAAGTGCTCTGGATGTAGCGATTGCTGTTGATGCACAGTCGTCACGAAGAGATCGGCAGCGCGTGCCGGCTCGTGCCGGAGCCAAGAGTCCAGCCTGCGTCGAGCCTGCGGCGATGACGAGAAAGAAAAGGATTCTAAAAAAAAAGAAGTGCTCTGGATGTAGCGATTGCTGTTGATGCACAGTCATCATCACAGCCCTGTTTGTAGCCTAATCTTTACCACAGCGTTTATTTCTTCTTCCAATTTTACTGCAATCTTTATGCTCGCGCTCATGTAGATCTTTTTCGATGGATTTCGACGGATGAGCTCTGATGACTTGACAATAGAAAGCAGCTGTCTGTCAACTGGCATTTGCTGCCGCTGCAAAAGAGTAACAAGATGTTGCGCTGCGACGACGACATAACAATCCAGGAATACTCTTTCTGCGGTGGCGTAGGTTCTCTCGCTGACGCATCGCTCCCTGTGACGACTAATGAACGGGTGTTGCGTACATTAGCGGCATACAAACGCAAACAGTGGCAAACTACTGCCGTCGCTACCGTTGCAACTCCACCGCCATCGTTGTGGCAGCGTCGCACATCTCGATTACACGCGAATCTCGAGCGAAATGAACCGGACGGTAAAGGCAGGCAAGAACAACGTTGTCGTCGTCGCTTGTCGTTTGACGACAACGAAGGCAACGCTACGCAACGCGGTGATCCTTGGATCTCGCAGGCGATCGATGCTGCCCCGATCAATACTCAACAACTCGACCGACTTTCTAGCCAGGAGGCACGCTCGTGGTTTGCAGACTCGAGCATCGGAGGCGGAACCGGTGTCAATTGCGCGACCGAAGCGCTCGGGTGTTTCGTGCACACCACCGCGAACGACGATGCATCCGCTATTGCTGCTGCTAATGCTCGTGCTCCTGCTGTTGCTGCTCCTGCTGCTGCTACTGTTGCTCCTATTGCTGCTGCTGCTGCTGCTGATAGTGCGGCTCCTGGTGCTGCTGATGCTGCTGCTCCTGCTGCTGCTGCGCCTGCTGCTGCTGCTGCTAAAGCAAACTTGGATAACTTGGCTGCGATGGCGGTGCTTCCTCCATACGAGTACTGCAGCGCGTCCATGTTTAATCAGGCGCGAGTTGGCAAACGAGTAGACGATCTCGTCACGGAAAAGGGCGGGACCGTAAAAATATCCTACAATCGAGCAAGAGTTTTGTACACTACTTGACAACGTATCCACTGCGCAATACACTCAGAGGTTACATACAAATCGCGCCATACTTGTCGCCGAGCCACATCGCGCTACCGTCTATACACGCAGAGCGAATATTTTCGATCGATCGTGAGCGTGACAACCGCGCGGGTGTGTTGCGCTTCAAACCGCCGAAATGCCGCGATTGTACGCGACATAAACGGTTGAGACGATGCTATCGTCGTTGTCGTCGTCGTCGGTACGACGGCGAGGGGACACGCGGCGGCGGCAACGGCGGCGGCCATCGATGCTGCTTGCCTTGGCCCGACGAGAGCTTTGAATGGTATTTTGACGTTTCGAGAAAAAACTTTGGCCTTGTGATGAAGCGCGATCCGTGTATTCACAACGGTAGTGTGGTGCGAGTGTGTCGAGTGTGTCTCGTAACGTGGAATATTGCGACGCCATTTACGTTTCACCGTTCGTGTTGAAAAATCTAAACGCAGATTTCGACGGCGACGCTGTCACCGTCATGATTGTTCGCGGGATCGAAGCGTCGCTAGAGATCGAAGAATGTATGAGTGAACCCATGCTGTACGGCTCTGGACCGCGTTTCACATTCTGTCAGTCCCTGATTTTTCGTATCTTTCGCCGTTTGGCATTCGATGACGAGACGGACGAACGACGCGCTTTCCGAGATCCCTCGAACATATCTGCAACTTTGGCCCGTCGTACACTCGAGTCTCGCCTCGACCTGTGGGGGAGATGCAACGACAGAGCACGGGCTCGAGCTCGCCGCATCTTTGGTCGCTGGTACGACTGTTACATCACTGTGCTAGCACGCGCGTGGAATCGCGGAGGGATAGCGATGGCCACGTTGGTCCACTCAAGCCCGAGCACCAGCAGCGAGCCGTGGAACCACCCGAACACAAGTCGTCACTAAGCCAGCCCACCAAGAATGACGAAAATGAAGAGTGGGAAGAAGAGTACGGTGACGTTGCAGTCTGGCGTGGACTATCGATATTGGATTACACACTGTCATTGGCTATCGTTCGTGGAGCTACAGACACCGAGGTAATCGATGACATAATGCAGTCTGTGACCTCTTCCTCGTTCGCTGACGATGACGCTGTTGTGTTTATGGACGCATCGCCCGCTTGCCTTGTAAATTGGCTCATTGTGCACTCTGGTGCGAAAGCGTCACCGCGTGAACTTCGACGCCTGTGCGACATTTTTCAACGAGAAAGCTGGAATGGCTCTGCGACGAGCTCCGCCGATGACGATGATAGCGCCGCGACGACAAGCGACCGCTGCATGTTGCCGCCGCATATATTAGCGTCGCACGCTCATTTTTTTCAGCCTCTTCCTTTGGACAGGGAACTCGAGTATCGTCGATACCTGGACGATTTCATTTCGGTCAGCAAAAACGTGCCTAAAACATCGTACTTTGCCAGCGGACTGAAATGGGTGGTGCAAACGTGTGACGTGAACAACGGCGACCTGCTGATGAGAGGACGTTTGCTACTGAGCAATCTGGATTACTATTTACGAGACGTGGAACGTGATTTTTTGTTAGCTATGTAATACCATTGTAATCGTAATATTCATTGTAATCGTAATATTCGGTTTTTTTTTGGATCTCTAATAAAGAAATGCAATATCGAGGGAGAAAAACACGTCTTTATTTCTTGCTCGTCATACGGGTTCGCAAAATACATCGTCTCAACCATTGTACCAGGTTGTAACGCATTTCCGCAGGTATATCTTCAAACATACGAAGCAACGGATCCGCGAAGCGTCGCGTGGCATCGCTGCTCGACTTTTTCGCATCTGCTTCGTCGTTGGTAGTTCTCTCCACGTTCGGTTTGATCAACGACGACGACGACGACGACGACGACGACGACGACGACGATGACTTTTCCACACAAGTGATTGTTTTTCCGACGACGACAAAGCGGACGTGTTTTCGTCGACGTTGAGGGAGCACCGCGGCAAGGTCCTTGCACTTCGAAAAAGTAACGTCGCCATTGCGCTGTCGCCCATGCTTCCGTCCGCGCCTCCTCCCCGTGGCGTACGAGGCGAGCGTTGTCAACCATCGCGACCTTTCGCTGTCGAACAAAAGAGCGCGCCCGCACGTCCAATCAGTCAGCTCGCATCGCGAAGTCGTTGCATCGCAATCGCAGCGAGTGGCGTTCAAATTTTGCAAGTTGATCGTCATCATCGATTTCGATCGCCAGGTTCCGATTGCGACGGTAAAGTCCATCGTGTCTTCTTCTTCGTCAAAAATGTTGCTGCTGCCTAATCCAACGTTGGATGAGGAGGAGTCCAATTTCGTTTACGTGGACGTGGATTGCGCGTTGTGCAAAAGATATCTAAGTGGCGATCTCAGTATTGTAGGTGATCGTTGCCCGCTACTGAACGACGATATTCGCAGAGTGCACGAGCTAGCGTTAATCTCGGACGTCCAGTCGGCACTGATTGCCACCGATTTGAGTATCGCGTGGATCACTACTCGAGAATCTGGAGCATTACGTCACGGGTATCACGTGTACGCGCGCGACGGCGACGCACGATTCGAGCAAGCATTGTACGATATACGTCGAGTGCGCAGCGGCGGCGATGATGATTGCGAAGATGAAAATGACAGCAGCGAGCATGTGCTCTTTATCGATGCAAACACGACAACTCATCAGCCAGATATCAACGAGTTCAATGAAGAGTACTCTGTATACATTATCGTAACGCAATGCGGCAGCAACGAGCAACGGCACCGCGTTTGCGGTCAATTCAGTCCGTTTGCGAGAGGAATGTGTTTCGCGCTCGCAGACGGAGTATCGCGCTCATGACACACGACATTTATTAATTTGTTTCTCGTGAAGCTATCGTCGTTACTTAGCGCATATGATTTTGAGAGCGGGGGGCCTATACGCGCGGCGTGTCGTAGGCGGGTCATTTGTTATTTCGTTCAGGTTCAACAGAGAAGGAAGAGCGACAAAACGCAACGAAAATATCGGCGATTTAGCGATGATTACAAAGAAATAGCTAAAAAATTGCGAAACACGAAGAGGCAGTCAGTGAAGGAACAAAGTAAGTGGATCGCGCGCCCGGCACGTGCACGTACAGAAATGGAACCGATGGACATTGAAAAAGAGACTCATGACACATTATCCGAAGCGCAGAAGCCGCCTCTGCCGTTAAAGACCAGAATTCGTTCCGATTTACCGCGGTTAGACGTCGCGCTACGCGATGTAATACCGTGCAATTTACGGACCGGTAGTAAATTTTTGCGTTCGGAAATTCAAGTGTCACTGCGCACAGACGCTCTGCGATTGTTCCTGAAATGCTATGGTTTTCTCATGTACGACCGCGAGCGCAAATTGGCCACTCTGTGCGCTTCGTCCGACTCCGGCGTTCGCGAGATCGCTCAAGTGTTGGGCGAATGCACCGACATGGAAGATTTCAAACGCAGCCTACACGACCACATGATCGAAATTCGAACGTCGATGATGGATGATTCTGATAGCGGCGCTCTTGAAGCAAGATTTTGATGCAACGACAACGACTGCGAATGAAGCACAGCAGCTGGGCGACGGCGACGGCGACAACGATTATTGGGCTAGTAGCACTACTGATACTGAGCCAGCGGCCAAGAGTCGACGGATGATGAGCAGTCAATCTGATAATTGTGCCAGCGCGAAGGGTTCGTCTGTGGCAGAGAGCAAACGTATTCTGAGTATGACTCGCGATTCGCTTGAACAAGTGCTGCTCTTTTTGAAAAATGATCAATTTCTCAAACGAAGCATACGGCTCAACGATTACTGTCGCGTGGCGTTATTGCGAGCGGACGCGGCAACCAACGAACAGAATGTAGCGAACGCATGGTACGACGCGGCAAGTTGCGATGTAAATGGTTGCCTCTCGATCATTATACGCGATGCGATTGTAACCACTGGTTTACAGACTCACACGTCGCTCTTGTTCATCGTTCGAGTAACTCTCACGCTGACGTATCTAGTGTCAAACTTTGTATACAATGATAGAGCGGTTAACGTCCGAGTGGACGCAACAGTAACAGCATCAGCAGCAGCCGCCGCAGCGTCTAACCGCGGCGCAATTGACGACGGTAATACTACGATCGCTCAGTACTTTGAGACGATCGATCCGATACAAGTGACAAATTCGTGGCTACGGCGATCATCGCGATGACTCGAATGTTTATAGCCACGCAGATGCAATGGCCTTTGCATGTTGCGGTCAATGACAAATATACAATCGACCTGGCTGAAATCAGAAATTCTTTGATATGCGAGTTACGTAACAATGGCAGCGGCAGCGATGGCAGCGGCGGTAGATCGACGGCGGGCATTGATCGAGAGCGAGCTTTGCATTGGCTTCGAGCCATGTCATCGCGAAACAAGGGACGACGATGTGCAGGAGGAGCAGGGTTCGAGAGCAGACGTTTGTACGTAAATTCCAATTCTCTGACCGCAATGTTCGATCGCTTGGCCAATGGAATCGACGAGTCGGCGCTGAGACGAGCGACTTGTAAATTCTTCGGCGACGAGCAAACGACAGTCAACCGTGGCGACGGTGGATCGAGCGCCGCCGCCGCCTCCACCGCCGCCGCCGCCGCCGCTGCTGCAGCAATCGGCCAGCAAGATAGCAAGTCGCCGTTTATTATACGAGATTCGTGCCCTTTGTTGCGCAAACAGATGCAAGAATACGATAAGTACACCGAAATCGTATCTCGTTACATAATGAAACATATCATTATCGGTAGTGCAGTGGCGGCGGCCGCGGTGACGACGAGTGCAGACGATTCATTCGTGCGCAGCATCGAAGCGGCTCAGCGAGATGGCGGCGTATTGCTCGACCTCGGCGTCGATGAGATAGAACAGCTTCGACGCGATCTAGGCGAATTGCTGCAACACACGGTATTGGCGCTCATCAGGCATAGCGTGGAGCCGAAGCGATTCGACGCTCTAGGCGATCGATCGTTGATATGTATTGCCACGAGGAGCGATACTACCGCCGCAGCCGAACAATTGCACGAAAATTCTATCGTATCAGTTGACAACAACGACTACGATAACGGTGGCGCCGGGGAGAGCTGCTTGGCGCGCGCCAAAATCGCTCTTGGTCTCTGGCCCGATAGCGAAGACAGCGAGTCTTTGAACGTGCTCGTTGTACAGGGCATGAGCTATTTGCACAGATCCAAGATGACGCTTTCACGTGTGCAGACGTTTACACGCTACATGATTCAGTCGTGGCATCAGCGCGTCGGTCTCATGAACTTCGAAAGTCTCGGAGAGGTTATGTTTACGCTGCATTATCTGTTCCCTCCTCAAAAAGAAGACGACTAGAAGCAAATGATGTAACATCGATCGTTATCGAAATATCTGAAAAATGGCTTTTTTTGGATGCAGTCAGTTGGTCAAATTGTGGCTAAAAACCGATCGTCGCCGGCCGTCATAATGAACAGGCGGTGCCAACAGCAGCAATGGAGGAGGGCCAGCTGTCTCGCTGTCGTCGTCGCCGCAGCAGCAGGAACCAGCACAAAAGGAGATCGAAAGGGAGAGGAAGAGGGAGAGAGAGAGAGAGAGAGAGAGAGATCATCCCTCGCTCGCGATCTCGTTCGTTTTTGTCGTCATTGAAAAGGCGGTGCTGTGTCAATTGGCCGCAACGAAAACAAATGATGGAACTACGATATATACCGGGTGTTTCAGATTACCCGGGTCACTCGATTTTTTCGTTAACGCGACATTTTAGAGAAAAATATTTTACACAACAATTGTAGGGCTTCAAAGGATCTATTTACTAGTGCTATGAATTTGACCTTGGTGCAACCTAGAAAAGTCCAGTCAAGAGCAACATAAAAATCTTAAATGGATACCTCAATTTTTTATTACATCATCTTCTTCTAGCAATTAATTTAAACAACTTTTGTCTGGAACATTTTTTTATTTACCTGATATTTCTTGAGATATTTCGAGGATAACTTGATAACTTTTTTTATATTTAACTCACGATATTTCGCTAACTATTTGTCAGAAGAAAAAGTGGTACTAGACTTTTTGCTTTATTTAGTCTCAAGAATATATATATATTGTCCCAATAGCGCCCTGAATTTCATTAATTTAATGATTTCAAAATTTCCAAAAATCATTAAGTTAACAAAAGTCAGGGACCTATTGTAAAAATATATTCTTGAGACTAAATAGAGCATAAAAGTCTAGTACCACTTTTTCTTCCGACAAATAGTTAGCGAGATATCGTGAGTTAAATATTGAAAAAGTTATCAAGTTATCCTCGAAATATCTAAAAAAATATTAAGTGAATAAAAAAATGTTTCAGACAAAAGTTGTTCGGATTAATTGTTAGAAAAAGATGATGTAATAAAAAATTGGGGTATCCGTTTAAGATTTTTATGTTGATCTTGACTGGACTTTTCTAGGTTGCACCAAGATCAAATTCATAGCATCAGTAAATAGATCCTTTGAAGCCCTACAATTTTTGTCTAAAATATTTTTCTCTAAGATGTCGCGTTAACGAAAGAATCCAGGGTGACCCGGGTGATCTGAAACACCTGATATAGCGCGCGTCCATATAGCGCGCATAGTTATCGTG